AAACCCTAAACCCTAAAGCCTGAATATCAGAAAAATGCATGGCAAAAACTGACAAAAATTCTTGATCTTTTCATATGGTCATCTTGGTGGATATACTGCCGTAAACCTGAATCCAAAGGCTTACCTCCTGGCCCAAAAGTCTAAACTACATGCCGCATCCTAATCCCACACCCTAAACCCCATACTGGAATCTCTTTTCATAGCCCTAGACCCATGTACTACATTCCTTATCCATCCGAGTGCTTCCATCCTCCTCCTCCTCTTCCGGCTCGGATCCAGCAGCTACACTGGTCTTCGCCTGCGGAGTCGTCCGGCCCCAATCAATCCCGGCTTAAGCATCTGCCGACTCTGCCTAACATTAACCAGGATAGCACTGTAATTCTGATAGTCATACTTACATCAAGGACGGAACCTACGCTAGTAGGAGTAGGAGTAGTCGTCGCGTCGTCGTCGTCGTCGTCGTCGTCATCGTCGTCGTCGTCGTCGTCGTGGTCGTCGTCGTGTCGTCGTCGTCGTCGTCGTCGTCGTCGTCGTCGTCGTCGTGGTCGTCGTCGTCGTCGTCGTCTGCAGTGGCGGTAGAAGAAGCCGTGGCAGTTTTCTGTGCGGATCGCGAAAGGGAATGCTTAAAGAGTGACAAATTGAAAAGGATCTTGTGCGTGGGAGTTCAAAATATTTCGAGGTTTGGACAGGATTTCAGTTTGTTAGGGTTGTATGAGGAAGTGTACCGAATTACAATCATCATCAAGACGAAGCCTGGTTTTCGGACTCTCCAGCTTCATCGTGCCGGCAGCATGCTGGGTGCAGACTTGTGGAGTATGCCTTCTTCAAAAACAAACACTTTACGTGGGGCTGCTCTGAACCATGATCTTTGCTGATTTACTGCAATCGTCGCCATAGCAACAGAATGTGAATCTACATACCTAGAAGGAACGCCGTACTTGTAGCAGAAGCCCCGTCACCTCAAGTGTCGTCCTGACCGAATATTCGCGGGAGGCCACCTACAATCTGAACTTCACCCAGCCCAATTGCAGATGAAACTCTCCAATGCCTAGTATTAAACCCTCAAACCTGCGAGAGGAATCCTGCAGCTTGAAACTCGTAGCGGTAGCAAGAGTCGGACAATGAGATCTCAACAAGATCTCACGAAGCCCTGACTGAAAGCCTCCTCCTCATCATCCGATTTCGGAGCATCGTCCTTCACATAAGGGTTCGGGGTCTAGGATTTGGGACGGAACTTCTTCGGGAGGTCAGGGGTTTGTGGAAATCCCACGGTTTGAGCTCCTGCATGGCATGCGGGGGCCTTGCGACACTGACTGGCTTGCGAGGAGGAGGGTAACTTTTAGGGTTTAGGGTTTAGGGTAATGTTGCTGGCAACAATATTGCCAATATGTTCGTGACGCCAACACGACTACTGGCAACAGAAACTACAACTGTCAATCGAGCAAACAGGAACCACAGTGACAACTGGACTAGTGGAAACCAGAACAGCTTTCTTCCCGAAGCTACTACAACGGCCGACTTCTCCAAAAACACCCAATTAAACGCCTAAACGCCAAAACCCACCGAAAACCCTGAACCCCCAAACCCTAAACCCTAAACCGCCTTCTTCTCCTCCTCTGCCTCTTGCTCATCTTCTGCCGGCTTTGCTTTTGCCTTTTGCTGAGGCAGCTTGGAGTTTCGGGTTTAGGGTTTGGGGCTCAGAAATTCACTGAAACCCTAAACCCTAAAGTGTAGGGGCTCAGGAATTGAGCTGCAGCTACAACACCACCAACTGCTACGAGGACGATACGGTCATGCCATTCAGAATGAATCCTACTCCCAGCACTGCAGGCTACCCAACGAAACCGAGAAACTGCCTTGACAATAAAATAATTTGGGTATCTCTACATTAGGGTTTTTTTTGTGCGTCCTTTTGTACTACTTTGGGGGGCCTAGGCCTAAGCAGGGCCTTAATTTAGAGAACTACCCACATACATTCATCGTAGCACCGTGGCAGCTCCCCCCCTCCCTGGAAGGAAGGCTTGGCTGCCGAGCATCGGAGCTGTCTGAGGAGGACTTGCGCTTGCGCCTGCAGGGACAGGGTCATTACCTCTACGGGTTCAGGGCTCCTCCTTTTGGAGTTCAGGGCTCCTTATTTTGGGGTTCAGGGTTCCTTCTTTTGGAGTTCAGGGTTCCTTATTTTGGAGTTCAGGGTTCCTTATGCTAGGGTTTAGAGTTTAGCGCCTTGGGGTATAGGGTTTAGGGCTTCGGGTTCAGGGTCTCGCGGTCTGGTGGTTTCCCGACCTGGAAGTGGCTCAAAGAAAAGTCCTTTTGCATGCACCGTCCAGTTCATGGGATTTTCCGGAGAATCCTGGGGTTTAGGGCTTGGGGTCATGTCGCTGCTCAAAACGTAGGCGGCGTTCATGAATCAGGGGTCTACAGTATCCGACACCCTAAGCACAAACCTTGAAGCCGAGGACTAGACCCTAAACCCTGAACTTTAACCCCAAACCCCAATCCCTAAACCCCAAACCCTAAAACCCCAAATCCCTCAACCCCAGACCCTAAACCCCAATCCCTCAACCCCAAACCCTAAACCCTAAATCCGAATTAGACCCCTAGACCCCTAAACCCTAAATCCCTAAACCCTAAATCCCTAAGTCCGAATTAGACCCCTAAACCTGCAAGCTCCCACGGGAGCTCCCAGAAACACCTCGAAAAGAGCTGATCAGCGAGGCTTGAGGACCCTGGGCCCGAATAAAGGGGCCGATAAAACCTCAAGAATAGGGTTTAGGGTTTAGGGTTTAGGGTTTAGGGTTTAGGGTTTAGGGTTTAGGGCTTGGGGTTTAGGGGTGTAAGTTCTACTAAAGAATATAACAAGGAACCCTAAGGAATAATATTGGTAATTGGTGAGGCTTCTACATTAGGCCCTACACCGCAGGAAATATGGACTTTCACAGGTCCACCGAGCCGGAGAATAGGGGTATCGAGGCTTTAAGCTGAAGCCGCATACTATCCCCTGGGCCCTAGAGCTCTGGAGCTGGTACTTAAAGCCTAAATCCCAAAACCCTGAAGCCCCCAAATCCTGAACGCCGGGCTTGCACTGAGAACTGAGACGCCCACTTCTTGCTCTTAGATCGGTCTCGGTCGGACTGCACAGGGGCGGTGCATCAGGCTCGACGCAGAATAGCAACAGGCTTGGATCTATCGTTCTAGAGTGTAGTATTTACGGTGAAAACGAGTAACCTGTCTCAAGACCAGCCACAAAATCACGAAGAATACAACCGTTGTATTCAGCAACAGCAACAGCGGCAGATAGCAACAGCTAGCAGCACGACAACTTTTCGCAGGCTGACATTACGGAAGTACTTCTGGGACTATTTTGAAGTGTGGTTCTTGGTATGGAATCGCCTATTGAGCGTCTTCATTCTCCTTCAAGAAAGGTTCTCAATCTAGAACAAGCCAAACACATCAAACAGCTCACAGCTCTTGGCATTCTGGAGGGCCCGACATACCCGAAATATCTAAGCCAGAGCGCTTGTATGGAACCCCAAACCCCTGCAGAGCCGTCGAAGCTATGAACCCGTTCAGAACGCATGAAACCTGAATCCTGAGCACAAATACTAGGCCCCCTACACCCTAACCCTAAACCCTAAACCCTAAACCCTAAACCCTAAACCCTAAACCCTAACCTAAACACCCTGAGCTCTGTTTTGAGAAACCGAGAAGACAACACCAACCATGCGCCTTCTTCGCGGGGGAGGGAGACTGGGACTTCTCGCCTCAACGGCTACTTGTCTTTCTTGCAAGGATGACTGAAATTCTTGTTGCTGTAGACTCATGTTTTCTTGTTGTACATGTTGTAACTATCCGTATTCTTCCATCTTGATATCACTAGCAATAGCATTCTGATGATGAGGATGTTGACATTGGTATCATCCTTTGCTGTGGTCCTGCTCATAAGCAGCTACAGTCGTTGACATATATGTTCTCATGTCGCTCTGGTTTGAAAAAAGTGAGGCGGGTCGGAAGCTCACTCTCAGCGTGACAGGAGCCCCACTCTTTTTGTCGTCTTTCTCCTTGTCGCTGTCGGAACTGTCCTCCGACAAATGGGGCGCAGTGCCACTGTGACACATGACCTGATGCAAGAGGTCGGCCTTTTTCTTCTCCTTCTCGGCGTCACTGTCGGAGGACGCCTGCAAGATGGATGAGATGAGAAGCTGAGCAATGCCATCTGCACCTTCCGGTGGTGAGCACACAAGTAAATCTGCTCCGTGGTTCTCCTTCTTCTCCTCCTCCTTCTCATCGTCACCTAAATGAGACAAGCATCCGGGGGATCTCCTACGTCGTTGCACGGGCCGCGGACGGGCGCTGGACCCATCATAATCGAATCTAGCATTACCATGATGTATGCTTTTCTTCTGCATGTGTGGTGGTTAGGTCAGTACTAGTTTCCAGTCGTCATCGTCCTCGAAGTCGTCGTTGTCGTCCTCGTCATCGTCTCGTCGTCGTCATCCGTGGTAGGAGCAGCAGCAACAACAACAGCAGCAGCAGCAGTAGTAGCAGCAGTAGCACTAGTAGCAGGAGGAGCAGCAGCTCGGCAGACATCTAGTCTTTACATGTCGGCCGCAATTTTGCCATGTCGGCGCATAACGTTTACCATGTCGTCGGACGTCTAGTTCTTACATGTCATACAGCTGCAGCGGTACCGCAGTCACTGGAAAGTGGCGAAGTGCCTTGCCACCAATGAAGACAACAAGTATGCACAGATAGATGCTGTGAACATCAATATGCGTGCAAGCCCTGACCGAATCTGGATTTGCGCAAAGGCTAAGTGTGTCGGGCTGTGGCATTTCAAGGCCTATAGGACTATGGTTCAGGCTTCTGGGGTTTGGGGTCTAGTACAAGGCTTAGGGAGTTTAGAGTTTAAGGTCCAGTGCTCTGCAGCCTCGGGTTTTAGGGAGGTTCAGGATTCGGGGCAAGGGCTGGTCATGGAGCTTCAGCCGAGTGGCTGCTATCCTTTTTCTTCTGGGCCGCCTTTTTCTTCTCACTGTCCTGTTGGCAAGATGGTATGTTTGAGATGTTCACCTACTTGCTGAAATAGTCATTGCACACCTACAAACCGATAGATGGATGGATCGAGAGGTCCATTGATCGATCGATCGATAGTTCGCAGTTAGTTGGTTTGTTTGCTTGCGCCTTCGTTGGTTTGTTAGCTGGTCAGTTAGATAGATAGACAGATAGATAGATAGATAGATAAACAAGCGCAAAATAGCCCTAAATCCTAGACTCCAGACCCTAAACCCTCTACCGCTACACCTTGGGATTGACCGAGCATCAGTCGCCAGTACCTCCAGTCTAGAATTGCGGCTTTGTGGAGTCAGGGTTTAGGGATTAGGGCTTAGGGCTTAGGATTAGATAGATTAGGGCATAGAGCTAGAGCCTACTTGGAGAAGACTTAGTAAGAGGTATGAGCAACACAGCTGTAGTTGTATCTGCTCATACCCCCCAATCAAGGACCCTATAACCCCACTTACTCTGTCCCCTGATCCTCTAAGTACGAAGAGGGACCCTTTTTGGGACGGCTTTGGGCTTCCGGGCTGTACCGTCTGGGACAGCAAAGCCACTGAACTTTACACTAAATCTGTAAGCATCGTCGAAGACTCCCAAGCCCGCGTCTACAAGCAGAAGTCCTGACCTTTACAAGGGCTTCGGGAGCTATGGGTTTACCTAAAAAACCATGGAACGTGGCAGCTTGCCCAAGTAAGGGGTCGAGTCCAGTAATTAAGCCCTGCCCTTGGGCATAAGGGCCACAACCTGTTTGAAAACACCGAAATCAGAATCCCAATGGAAAAGACATGCTCGGGAAAATGAGCTGTTTTGAAATTGCCCCCCGGTTCAGATCTCGATTCGAACCCTAGGACCTAAACCCAGGTCTGAATTTCCCACACCCCAGTACGAAGTCGACGTCCTAAACCTAACAGCCCCAGCCGGGGTCTGCCCCTAAAGCCCCAAAACCCTCATATAGAGGTCTGAATACCTAGTGATGGTCTCCCTTTAAAACGGACTATATATTTACATATACGAAAAGGCCCCCAATCTAAACCCTCCAAAACCCCTTATAAAAACTCATTCTGGTTGTTTGGGCCGAAACAAACAAAAGCCCAAGACCCTGCCGGGCCAAATGGATCTCCAGAAATTCGAACGGAGCAGCTTAGGACTTCGGATGGGATGGGACATATCTAGGTTTTCGGGTTTGGGGTTGCTAAGCGTTTAATCAAGGTGCTGCAAGTGGGGTTTAAGGCCGTTTAGGGTTTGGGGGTGCGGGATTTAAAGTGTGGGTGTGGGGTTTAGGGTTTAGCGTTTAGGGTCCAGGTGTTTGCAGAGTCTAGCACCCGATCTAATTACGCTGTGTGTGGTGCTGGCTTATGGCATGTTGAAGTGATGCAAGCATGTATTGTACGCGTAAGGTGTCAGCACAACATGCTTTTTCACAGCCAGACCCGACTACATCCATGGCTGCCGAGTGGCAGAGCTATCAGACGACGACTTGCGCTTGCGCCTGCACCACAGGGCAGCTGCTCGAGCCCCCTAAAACTAGATAAAGATATACATACAGACATGGATCTTGATATAATTAGATACTGATATATCATCGCCCATGGCCTTCGGCGACTTCGTAACTTGGCTTTGGAAAGATTGAAGCAAGGATGCCTTCCAATTTTTAAAGTCTGTAGTACTGTCCCCTATGTCTGGCATCCCCATCTGAGGCGCTAAGCCTCAACCCTACACCTCCAGGGTTCAGGATAGGAGTTATTTATCTGCTTTGGCTTTGCAGATTCATGGGGCTAGGCCCAATCCGCGTTACAGCGCCGAGGCTGCACTACTGTACTAGTATGGTGAGACTCTGTCTGTCCTGCGAGCATCGAAACTGTCGTCATGGACTTAAACACTAAACCCTAAACCCCTAAACCCGCCTTAACTTGTGTATTCGAATCTGGCCATCCTCGTTGGGTGATACGTAGGCTTCTCGGCTTAGATCTGCAAGAGTTGGTAGTTCAGGGGTCGTAAGGCGTCAGGGCCGTTAGGGCTCGAGTTGTCAAGCGCTTGGGTTTCAGCAAGCCCGATTTCGCGACCCATGACCCATGCTGCGAAAACCCCCCTGAACCCTAATTGAGCGGAGGCGTTGGAAGTCGTCTGAGCTTCGCGCTTCTTGCTTTTGGATCGCCCCCGGTCTGCCTACGAAGCAGGCACACGGTTTAGACTGCAGGAGATTTGGGCTCAGGATTTTGGGGTTTTAGGTTTTTGGTGCTTATAATTAGGGTGCTAGTTCTCAGGGGCTAGGGCCTAGGGGTTTGGGATTTAGGTGTAGGGTTTCGTAGGATTGAACTTCTAAGGATTAGGGAAACGCGAGGCTATCTCACAACGAATGCTCGATTATCCGCACAGACTCATGCGCATGCATGTATGTATGTACGTATCCGAAGCTTCATAGAGTGCTCCCAGCCCAATCCCACACTCGCTTCGGACTATGTTAAGGCACTGGGCACCCACAGTTTGGCCTTCTTCCGCGGCGGGGTGGAGGACTTGGACTTCTCACCTCAAACTCTAAACGGGAGCCTTATGTTTAGGGTTTACTGTAGAGCTTTGGGTTTCAGGTCTGTTGTGTAGGGTGTAGGGGTTTGGGGTTTAGACAATCCGGAAGCTTGCAGACGCAAAATGCACCACAATGCAATATCATACAGTCCTATGCTTTGCTATGTTACGTTATATTGCACTAAAAAACATCGCATTACAATATGCTTTGTTACACTAATGCATGGCATAATCGAGTATACAGTGATAGCGAAGTAGTCTTGACGTAACATCGTATTGAGATGTACTATATCACAACATAACGGAATATGCGATACTGCCATAAGGTACAATCTGATGAGTGGGATCCAGACTCTTCTTGTCCTCCTTTTCTTTGTCGCTGTCGGAGCTGTCCTGTGAAGAACGCAAGAAGATATGTAGGGTGCCTTATAGGGTTCTGTAAGCATCTTATAAGGGTTCCGGGTTTATGCTTTAGGGCTCTTTTCGGTTACTTTACGGGTACTATAAGGGGTGCTGCAAAGGGTGGATAAAGGGGTTCTTTAAGTGTCCTTGTCCGGCTTCTTGGCATCTTCGGCATCGCTGTCCGAGGACGCCTGCAGGACTGGTAACAGCACTCACCGGCACTCACGCAAGAGTAAGCAGCCAAACGATACAAATGACTTGCTGATGCGGATTTGTTCCCTATCTGGTCTCTTCTCGGCACAACACAAAAATGCGGCACAGCTCGATAGCTCTCCTTCTTGTCCTCCTCCTGCAGGGCAGAAAGGAAGCTTGAGACACAAGCCTAACCAAAGAGCCGGAGATATGGGCACGGGCCACCTTCTCGATGCTGCTACTGCCACGACGACTACTATCCAAAACACATGACACACCATTCTCTTAGTAGCACCGACAAGTAGTGCGCAGACGACAACTACGACGAAGAAGACGACTGCGCTGCTGATGATGATCCTGCTGCTGCTGCAGTTGCTACGACGACGACAACAGCATGGTTGAGGAAAGCAACGACGGCAACATAATGCAGAACTCTTCTGACTACTAGCTACACTCGTCGCTGCCATACTTCCGCACGGTGCAGGTGTGGCGGGCGCAGTCGTCGTCGTAGCAACGGCAAAAGCAGTACTGCAAGAGTAACGAACACAGTATTGTCGTACTAGTAATGTACTATTTGTCGGAGTGGTAGTGGTAGAAATGGCAGGAGTCGAAGTAGAAGAAGTAGTCGTACAAGTAACAGTAGCAGTAGCTACTGACAGTTGTAGTAGTAGTAGTAGTAGTAGTAGTAGTAGTGGGTAGTAGTGGGTAGTAGTGGGTAGTAGTGGGTAGTAGTGGGTAGTAGTGGGTAGTTGTGGGTAGTAGTGGTAGTAGTCGTCGTGGTAGTCGTGGTGGTTTGTTTGTACAGCAGTCAGGGGAGTCCGGACGTCGCGACAGGGAACTCGGTCAACGACTTGCGTCGCCGGCTGCAAAATTGGCAGCACGCAGCTATTGTGCGTACCATGGCCCGGCCTCTTCACGAATGAAGGGCTCACAACGGAGCAATCTCAAAAGTCTCAAGGCTCACTCAAAGAAGAGTCGTATCTGGGCAGCTTGAAGCCCAAATCATCCAAGAGTACGGCACTGATCCCGTGAAAGGAGCCGGTACCTGGGTAACTGTAAGCTGAGCCTCGGTGTCAGATAAGTCCTTTCTAGAATCAGGGTCCGAGCCACTCAAAACCGAACCAGGCGAAGAGGGAGGCTCAGAGGAGGTCCCAAAGTCGGGGTGTGCACCACCCAGAATGGAATCTTAGTTCCGAGGCCCACAACTCGTCTGGAACATCATGTGGCTGCTGCGGTAACATGTCGCATGTGCAAATGACGACTGCAGCTGAAAGGAGGCAATCGTGGGCATGCAGACAAGGGAGCATCGATGCAAAGCTGTGCAAGTTTCAACAGGGGCAACGAGAGGCACACAGGGAGAATGATTTTGGGCTCCACTGAACTTGCAATGCGAACCATCCGCGGCCTTCCGGGTCCCACGGCAGCAACGACCTGCCCAGCCGACAAGATTAGGCAGTGCATGTGTGTGAGGCCTGTGACCATTAAGCGCGCGCCTCCCCGCGCCTGCAGACAAGCATGTAAACTTTCCTAGAAACAGAGCCCAGTTCACTAGAAGCTCCGAGCCGGGGTCCAGGCGCTGCGGCGTGATGTCGTCATTACGACAAAGAAAGACAAAGCTGTCCTCGAAAAATATGGCTATGTAGTGCCCTGACCGGATAGTGGGGCCCGTGTGGAGGATAGCGGCCTCGGCCAAGCACTCGCAGCTGCGAGACCTCATGCCGTCGCAAGAGCTGCAGGCTACGTGACCACGTGATGCTTGCATGGTTTTTGGTGGCACCTGTTGGCCCAGACTGGTATACCCTGCGACACGGATGAGCAAATGCAGTGGTGGCCGCTTCAACGCATGGACTGAGGCCTGTGTGTGCCATTCATGTATGAGACTGTGAGCACGATGCAGGTCCCCCACACGCAGATTCAAAGATACAGCCTGTGTGCACTGACCGGCGTCAGTGACGCGAGAGCCAACTGCTTCAGCCTGCGAGCCATCCATTCCCCTTCCAACGCCTGAGGGCAAAGCTTGCTGCCAGTGATTGCAACGAACTCTGTGCAGTCTTGCTTCTAATGGCCCTAGCCCAGCCCGTAAGCATGATCCTCCAAAACTGAGGCTTCGGGGGGCGACGTGTGAGGAATGCAATTGCCTGTGAGCCAGCCGCATAAAACCCCAGTGAGGCAGTCTCGGCACGATCTGAGGGACCGTACTTGGCCTAAAGCAACGCCCGGACAGCAATGTTAAGGTAACAAAAACTGCAGGGGTTATTCATTAAGAACTAGGGACTTCAGGAAAACATGCGGTCCATGAGCTGCTGGAGCGCCGATGGGCGTTGCTGAGTCTTCCTTTTGAATTGGATGCCCTCTACCTGCAGCCTGTAGAGCAGCACAACTCTGAAGAAGACCCAGGTTCTCGAAGAGCTGATCGGCCTCCGGAGGTCTGAATGCAATGTCCATCATCAGCCGAACATCTGTCCCTCAAAGCGCGACAACATCCCCTTGTGGATGAAATTCTGGATGGTCTGGATCAGATTCATGAGTTCGGCATGCGTTGATGCTTTCCGGCGAACGTCCACGACCAGGCACCTCTGCTCCAGGCACCACCTCTGAAACACCCATTCGCCCGACTCTGTGATCCAGCCAGAGGTCTTCGCCTCCTTGAGGCCATCTTCCTCAGGTCCGCGAGTGAGGTCTTGAAAAACTGGATGAAGCCCCAAAAGATCGCCTGTCGGATGGGCGTGTCCTTGAGCCGGCTGTCCGGCTTGACCACTTCTTCCCTCCAAGTCTTTGCAGCGAGCACCAAGGTGGTGATCGGCGAGGGCTGCGGAATCCTGAGCCACCAGATCCAACCTGTGCTGAGCCTCACGTTTGAGTCATCAATCGCAGGAGTCCTTTTGTCCCACTCCTGCCTGATTGCCCCTTGGATTCGGCTCGCCTCCGCTGCCAGGGAAGCTTGGCGGCCTTTCGTCGTCTTGCTTCCGGCCCTCCGCCGGCGCAGGGCGCTTGCCGATGACGCTGCCAAACAGCTCCGCCATTGCCGTGTCCGCTGCATGTGGATCGTAGTCGTGGTGGTGGTGGTGGTGGTGGTGGTGGTGGTGGTGGTGGTGGTGGCGGCGGCGGCGGCGGTGGCGGTGGTGGGGGTGGAAGGCCCAGAAGAAGAAGAAGCAGAAATAGCAGCACCAGCAGCAGCAGCAG